ATATTGTATTTAATTAATCAGTAGGAGAGATGGGGAAAGTCACCTCCTTTAAACTGTTTATCTGATTTTCTGAAATTCTAACCATGCTCTTATTGTTTTTACACAGCTTTGACAGTCTTTGTTTCTGCCTTTAAATAAAATCCTATTGGTATTTGTATTTGTGTTCATGCTCAAATGTTTCTTGGGGTGGCCACAGGACTTGGGGTGCCAGAGTTTTTCCATGTTCGGATTGCAGAGTAAAAGGTCAGAAACCACGTAGACCCCAAGGATGCTCGTCTAGAACAGCACGGGGTCACTTGGAGACTTCTGAGCTCCCAAGTACCAGAGTATCAGGTCAGATTACAGGCGCACTAGTATTGCCTTTGCTACTGACTCTTCTTTCTTTCTTTCTTTCTTTTCTCCATATTTCTTTTCATTTGCTCATTCTTGCAGTCTGTCCGCAAAGCAGACGAGTCTCCTGGAACAGTTCCTCCACGTCCCTTGTAGAGAGGCCGGGCTGAGCAGCTCCTGTACGCAGGCCCTGCAGGAGGATACTGAGGGCAGAGTGTGGGCTGTGGATGGACGACGAGGCTGGAAGGAATCTGCCAGGACACTTGTGCTTTTCACCCCTACACAGACTGTTTCACAGTCTTCAAAACAACTCTATAACCTAGACAATAAGACACCTCTTTCAGAGTTGAACTGAATCTCAACAAAGCTGAGCGTTTTGCCTCTGCTTACATGGCTAAAGAAATGAATCATAACACAGACATCCCCAAAGATGTGCAAGGCTCGGTGTCCAACGCAGGGCACAGCCAGTTAAGGGCTCTGAATTCAGGGAATGCAGCGGCTGTGCCACAGGTGGCTGCTGTAGCAGACTGGGAAGGCTTCCTAGAAGAGGCAGGGCTGGGGGTGGGCCCAGAAAATGAGGCAACCGTGGGCAGCTAGGGAAAAACCCGATGGCTCCTTGGGCCATGTGCTGCTGGGGGAAGGGAGAGACACCAGCCTGTTTGTCTGGACCTCTGGCCTCATTAGTGAAGCTCAGATACTGCCAGAAGCCCAGCTTCCTAAGGTGGCAGTGAAAATCAAATGAGGCACCTGGAAGCACACTTGGCACAGGAAGAAAACTTAGGAAACGTCCTGTCTACTCTTCTGCAGCTCCTGGAGCAAACCAGTAGAGATAAGGATGCTGGGCCTGTGTGGGTGCAGAGACAGGCAAAAGCCCCAAGGAGAGAGCTGGGGCTCGCCCTCTTTTGGGACACAAGGAACGTCCACTGTAGCCTGAAGTGTAAACTCTCAGGTGAAGATTATTCTATCCACATCCTACTTCTGCAAATAACCTGTGAGGCCAAGTGAGGATAAGGCCACAGGAGGGCATGTGCTGCTCCTACTCCAGGCTAAGGGCAACCTCTAATGACACAAAGATACCCTCAGATCTGCAACCCACAGCCTACACTAGCAAACAGTGCATTGCCCGCCAGTATCTGAGAAGCCCGATCTCTCCCAGTGGTAGCTTTGAGGTGACATGAATTACCAAATCTAGGAGCATGAGTTAGGTTGTGTTTGTCCCCACTAGAACTAGCCAGTGTTCCCGGATTCTTTTGAGCACAACTTTGGAAGGCAGCTAAAGCAGGTATTTGTGATCACCTGGAGGCCGGCTGCATCCAGCCAACCTTACAGCTTCTAGCAGAGGCCAGGCTGTGGAGGCAGAGCCAAGGAAGAGAGACCTGCCCCTGGGAAGCTCTGAGGCAGGCCATGTGGGCTGTGTCCTCCCTCTCCCTGGGTTTCTCTGGGGTCTTCTGCCCCCTGGTTTGGTTACTACTCTCATCCCTCCTTCATGGAGCCTCTGCAAATCCCCCACCTCTAAGTTAATATTTCCTGGTGGATCTTAGAACTTTCTTTCTAAGCCCTCCATCTCAGCAGCCCTTAAAAACATTTCCCTTTACCACTAATGAAACTGCCTGTTCTTTTTTTTGAAACTGACTGTTCTGCTATCCTTGAGGCCAGAGCTAGTCCAAGCACAAGGACAGGTTCAGCCCATGCTTTGCACTGCTGTCTCTGGACTTCAGACCACCAGCCCTGCGCCCATGGCTCTGTGCCCTAGTCCAGAATGACCACCGCCTACTCATGTGCCCCACCCACCTAAGTCCTCCCTCCCTTCCTTCCTTCCCCTGCTACCTCCCTGGTCCCTCTCCTCCACCCCCTGTGAAGTGGATCCCAAGTTCAGCAACGCCCAACGCTCCCTCAGTGCCTGTGGATAGAGCCTGCAGTGTTGCAAGGGACCCTTCCCACCCTCCTTGGCCCCTCTTGGCCCCTGCGTATCCATGTGAAAGCCTCCAAGTGACACATCATAGAGACCAGCACAACAGGTAAGCTCCCAAATGTGTCAGAGCCCACAGGCTGAGCTTAGAAGCTCATGAACTAGAAAGATGCCATGAACTAGAAAGATGACTTCCGTAAGTCATTGTCATCTCTGAGATTTAGTTTTCTCATCTATAAAATTAATATTAAAATAGGATCCTCTACAATAAAAAGAAATAAAGTACTGATACACTACATCACGGATGAGCTTTGAAAACACCTCGCTGTGTAAGCCTCACATCAGACCAGACTCTCCCAGCAGCTGCCCTACTTGCCAGCAGAGGCATTGCTCTCAGCAGTGACTCAACTCAGCACCAAGGCTGTCCCCAGGATGCCATATAAGAAATAAGATAAGACAAGGACTCTTGCTGATGCTGGACATCTGGAGATAAAAGTTTACACTGGATGCCCCAAGGACTTCACCTACTAAAGTGCAAGACAGCCAGAGAACCTTGGTGTTAAGATGTTTCTTAACACCATTAGGCCTAATGTCCCTTGCTTTCTTTCAATCCCTATAAAAAAAAAGGTCATTTCTCTTTTGTCCCTACTGATGGCCTTTTCAGCCTTTCTGCCTGCACCTGGGTATTAAACCATATGCCCTGCTGCTTTCACAAATGCCTGTCAAGCAGTCTCTGCCTCACTTTGTGCCTTACACCCCATACTAAATGAAAATCATGGGGGGGCCCTGCCCATTAGCTCAGGTGTTTAAGCGCCTGCTGAAACAAAGCAGTCAGGCTCAGGATGCTGTGGTTCGATCCCCTCATCCTCAAGCCAAACCACACCTGCCCTGAAGGCAACCTGAGTGGCCCCCCCAAAAAAAATCCTTCTGCCATTGGGGAGATAGCTCAGTAGAGTAAGCGCTTGCCTGGCAAGCACAAGGGCCTGAGTTCAATCCCCAGTTCCGCAAAAAACAAAATAAAACAAAAAAAGTAAGTTCAGGCCAGACTGCGCTCCACAATGGGTTCAGTGCTACCCTGACCTATATACCAAGACCCTGTATCAAAAACAAATACATTTTTTTAAAAAAAAAGAAAATCATACGGCACTTTCTGTCCAATTCCACTTACAGGAAATGTCCAAAATGGACAAATCTAGAATCAGAAAGCAAATCAGCACTTGTGTGGGGCTGGGGAGGGAGAAGGGAAGTAACTGCTAAGTGTATGCAGTGTTTGTTTGTTTGAGAAGCAATGAAAATATTCTAAAATAGATTGTGGTTACAGGTGTGTAACTGTGAATAAACTAAAAACCATTTAAATTATGTAATTAAAATAGGAAAGTTAAAACTAGATGGGATGATACACACTATAATCCCAGCACCTGAGAGCCTGAGGCAGGAGGATGACCATAATTTCAAGGCCAGCTTGTGCTACATAGTGAGTTCAAGGCTAGCCTGTACTACATAATGAGACCCTGTCTCAGAAGAAGAAAAGTAAGTTTGATAATGAAAGATACATCTTAATAAATCTGTTATTTAAACAATTTTGGAATCCCAACAGGACTTACTTCATAGGAATGTTAAAAAAAATCGAAGTAATATCTATAAAATACCTAGCCTAGGGCTGGGGATGTAGCTCAGTAGTCGAGCGCTTCCTATCATCTGTGATGACCTAGGTTCGATCTTCAGCACCACCCAAGATGAATTTCCACATGGCGGGCCCCAAGAAGTGATGGCTATGATCACTGCTCTTACCGAGAGGACAGTGCTGCGCAGTTTATCATGGGAGGTTTGGCAAAGGTGACGGTCCACGCACACATGCCCCCCACACACACACCCTTGTCACGGATGTAGCTCTGCTTTAGCAGTAGAAGAAACATGGTTGAAGTCAAGGGAGCTGAACCCGATTAGGAACGTACTGACCACACCCCTCCCTGCCCCTCACCAGCCTGCCTTTCTCATCAAGTGAGCAGACTGTCCAAGAGCTTCTCTAGGATTGGGTTTCAGGTCAACTGGCATATAAGATGGGTGCCAGACCAGAGGCAGCAGAGACGACAGTGAATGGCAAGAAGGGGCCAGAGATCTTTGCTGCCACCCCCCACATGGAGCCCTAGGGAACCATAGATATTTGCTGCACTGCCCTGACTGCTGCTGGACTCGGAGGTAAGATCTCTCTCTCTCTTTCAATCTCTCTCTCTCTCTCTCTCTCTCTCTCTCTCTCTCTCTCTCTCTCCTCTCTCTCTCTCTCACCTGTTTTCCCTTGCATGGAGGCATGGAGGCTTCCAGAGGTTGTCAGGGACCACTAGCTGCAGCTGAGAGGCCTGAGAGAGCTAGAGCCCAGCCCCTATCTTTTCAAAATGAGGAAACCGCAACACTACTGAGGGCCTTGAATGCCACACCTGGGTCATTCATGCAGCACTCACATTTGCCCAGTTGGCTGCCTCGAGGGGGATTTTGCTAGACCCACAAATATAAAGTGACTTCTTTCTTTAGCCCAGAATCTTTGAAATTCCTCTGTGGAGATGTTGCGGAGGCCTTTTCAGGAGGGCGGGGGTCAGGTTGGGAAGGCAACATGGATGGATGGATCAAAACGGGGTCCTCCAACTTCCGCTCAGAGGTACCATGAGGAATTTGTTTCTAAAGCAGACTCCCAGGCTCCACCCACAATGTGAATCAGGATCTCTGGGGCTGAGGGCCAAGATTTGCTCTGTAAACAAGCAGCTCAGGGGATCCTGAGTTCTACCTGAGGGCTGAGGCTGAGGACAGTGGAATAAGCACTGCTTGTGTGACAGACCATGGTGTCGACCTTAGTCCCACCATTTCAGCTGCATGACATGCTGGAGCACTCAAACTCGGGGGCTGGGGCATCCCACCTTCAGGTGCCCAGCAGAGCTGCAGGACTAAAGGATTCTGCTCTCGGCCTCCTCTCCAGTCAAGGGCATAGGTGTGCTGGCTGCCAGGATCCAGGGGGTTGAGGAGCATGCCAGTGCCTCCTGTGATAGACTCCTCCACCAGTCCCAGTGTGAGTTTTGACCTGAGTCCCTGCTCCTCCATTGTGTCTCTGGTGGATGGCTCAGGACTACTCCAACTTCACGCTGGCTGTTGCTCTTGACCAAGTTAGGCTTCAGCGCCTCTTCCTAGTACCATTCCAGCAATCTCCTTCTATCTCTCCCTTGCAGCTCATCCTCCACACTCGCTCCAGCATGCTCTGAACACAGATCTGACCGTGTCATTCCCTTCCCTAAAATTCGCCCACACTTGCTATTCTCAGTAGATAGGTCTAACCTGCATCCAAAGTCCTCTACCAACGGTCCTGGGGGCATCTCTGATCTCATTTCCATCTGCTCACTCCGGCAAGCAGGGCTTTTTGCTCAGCTGGTCCTGCCTGGCTTCTCTGAATGCCTGTGCCATACTGGGCTTCAGAGAAGCATCATAAACAGATTCTGTATCCACTTTGAGGGCTTCCCATCTAGGGAGGAACTCCCAGATAATAAGGCACTTCTACAAGGTGTGGGTCAAAGGCAGCTGGGGACACAGCAAAAGCCAATGGGAAGCCCTGGCTGAGTTCAGCCCTTTGGCCAGGGTACCAAAGGTCCCCCAGGGACACAGACTCAGGCTCAGAAGGAGGCACAGAGGGGGGCCTGGCTGACCCAGACATTTCGCATCAGATGGCTTAGGGCAATGAGCACCCTGAAGTCACACAAGCTGGAAACCTCAGTTCTGCTCACTGTGTACTCCAGGCAGGTCACGCTGGGCTTTAGTTTGTAACTCAAAAGTAAAATAAAAACACTAGGGTTGGCAAGATAGTTCAGGAGACTAAGCACCTGCTTAGGCAAGCTCAGGACCAGGGTTTGATCCCAGCACCACATGATGCACCAGCCCTGCCCCCTGGGCACACTGAGACAGCCACCAAGACCAGGTGTGGTGGCGCATACCTATAATCTCAGTGCTGGGGAGACCAAAAACAGGAGGATCACTATAAGTCCAAGCTGTGTAGTGAGACCCTGTATCAAACACATTAAAAAAAAAAAAAAAAACCTACCCAATTTATTGGCACCTGAGTGGCCCTCAAAGGTTTTGATGAAGAAACCAGCAAGAGACACTAGAGGACACCACTCCCAAGGCACCTCCCCAACTCTGAGACTCAGAGCCTGGGGTTCATTGTGCCAGAGCCCCCTGCACCCCAGCTTATCGCAGAGCTCTGGGAAAGGGCAGGAGAGATGCCAGTGCTGGAGGCTAAAGGCCACCACGATGCCATGGGAGTCAGCTGCTCTCTGTGCATTCCAGTCCAGGCTGCAGCCAGATCCTCCCTCTGGGAAGGAGCCCAGGCTGGCTGGTCTCTGGGGCAAAGGGCAGTGCCGAAGGAGCAGGTGGAGGAGATTTCTCCAGCATCCTGCAGTGCCATCTCTCCGGCTGGGGCAGCACTGAGACCTCTCCACTACACTGCTGAAGAGCCTCACCCTTCTCAGCTCTTCTCAGGGAGCAACTCAGACAAGCAAGGAGATGGGCTGAGAGAAGAGCCCAGGGGAGGCTGAGGCCTGACTGCACGCACCCGCATAGCACTCAGCCACTCTGGGCCCACTAAGGTCATCTGCCAAGTGGGGCAGAGATACTCACCCTGCCTTTCTCACAAGGCGGTGGCTCAGCAGTCCCCATGGGTGGGATTTTGCAGACTTGACACTGCAGTCCCCATGGGTGGGATTTGCAGATCCTTTAGTAACTGCAAAGGGCTTTAAAAGCTTCAATAAGAGGAAAGACTGAGTAACCACAGCTACTATTTCATCTGAGGCCCTGGGGCTCCTGGTAAAGTCAGCCCTGTTGCCTGACAACAGGGTTAGGATCCCTTGACCCCAGTCTCTGTCCCTCTTTTGGTTTTGGTTTTTAAGGGGTGTGTGTGTGTGTGTGTGTGTGTGTGTGTGTGTGTGTGTGTGTGCAGGGTCTCACTACGTAGCTCAGATTCGTAGTGATCCTCCTGATTTTTGCCTCCCTAGTGCTGGGATTACAGGTGTGCGCCACCACGCCCAGGACACATCACAGCTCAGCGCACCTAAGGGTGGGGCCGGCGTGGCATGTGGTGGCAGGGATCAAACCCTGGCCCCTGCACTTACCTAAGCAAGCACTTAGTCTGCTGAGCTGTACCACTGGCCCTTGGCTTTGGTTTTGGTTTGGACCTTTGCTTCACTTTGCTTTTTATTTGTTTCTTTGGAGGTTTTGTTTGTTTAGGAGTTTAGGGGTGTATAGGTCTTTTCGTTGTTTCTCTCGGCACCAACCTATAGCATACAACAAGGGGAGGTCTTGTGGGGTGCTCTTTTTAAAGACAGGGTCTCACCATGCAATTCAGGTGTGGTCTCACTATGGAGCTCAGATGAGACTCAAACTCATGATGATCCCCCTGCTTCAGCCTCCTGAGTGCTGTTGCTTTTGGCATTTTCTTGTTTGTTGCATAAATAATACGTAAAGTTTATTACTAGTTGAAATAAAGCTGAAAAACAGGAAAAAACATGCATCATCTATGATAACAACTATATAAAAAGTCTAAGAGAACTACAATAGGAGCACACTAAAAATCAAGGCGCTGGTTTTCTATAGAAAGAGGGTTTCCATTGGAAAGAACAGTGAAATCTTCAGGGAACATTCTTGTATTATAAAATAGTCCATTTTTGCAACTTGCATATTGGTAGCAAGCATATTTGCTTATATAATCATAGGTTGCACTGCATATTTGAATGTTTTTGCATTTTCCTATGTATTACATAAAAAAAATTTAAGGCCAAGGAGATAGCTCAGCAGCATAAGCACCTGCCCGGCAAGTGCAAGGTCCTGAGTTCAATCCCTGGAAAAGAAAGAAAGAAAGAAACCTACCAGAAAGAGAATCATGTTGGTATGATTTTAGACTCCAAAATAAGATAAGGAATTTTTTTTTTTTTTTTAAAGGCAGGATCCTGTTCTGCAATCTAGGCTGGCCTTGAACTCACTATGTAGCCTAGGCTGGCCTCAAATTCATAGCAAACCTCCTGTCTCAACTTCCTGGGATTCCAGGTGTGAAGCACCATGCCTGGCCTCTGCAGGGAATGATGATCCAGCTTTTGCACCTAACGAAGTGAGACCCAGTTCAAAAATGTCCACAATGGCATGCTTATTACTTCTTATGATATTGTTGGCCAGGATGGTCTCAGGCTCCTGGGCTCAAATGTTTTTCTTGCCTCAACCTCCCGAATAGCTGAGACTACAAGTGTCCAACTCTTTTCATTTTAAGCCTCTGTTTTCTTACCTATAAACTAGATTTTAATAATTCCCTGACATCCTTCCAGGATGTTTCAAATCCAGAACAGCATAGTGAACCCATGACTGGCAACACTGAGCACACTCATGCTTCTGGGTCTCAGTTCGCTCACCCAAAAGTAGAGGAAAAAACTGAGCATAGTGGCACACACCTGTATTTCTAGTATTGGGGAGGCTGAGGCAGGAGGATCACCAAGAGTTTGAGAGCAGCCTAGGCGACACAGTAAATCTGAGGCAAGCCTGAACTACATAGCAAGATCCTGTCTCCAAAAGACAAATAACAGAGGAAACGAACAGCTACTTCGTGGGAAAATGTGAAAATTAAACAAGATCATATATGGAAAGTGCCCACATAGGGCCACATAGCCCTGTAGCCACACCTTTCTCCCATCGCAAGCTTCAGCCAAGCTCTGGCCTTTCACACAAGTCAGGCCTTCGCCTCCACTGAAACACCCTCCCGAATCCTCAGCTGCCTTTCCAGGTGTAGTTCATACAGTCCTCCTCCTCCTCCTCCCATCTCACACGCTGAAGGACCATCTCTGAGTTCTTTCCTGTCAGCCCCTTCGCTCTACGCTGGCCACAGTCCGTCTTGCCCTGAAGTTACTTGAGGGCAAGTCTCATGCCTCAGCAGGCTGCTGAAGACTCCCTGGGAGCAGTCTATGCACCAGGCTTTTCCCATGTCTAGATTTCCCAGAATACCAAGCACAGAACCTGACATGGGATGGGTCTCATTAGCATGTACTGATTTTATCCAATTGAATTCTCAGGGCCATGATGTGAGAATGGAATGGACAGGGTTGGGAAGGGATCTTTCACTAAAGCCTCCATTCATTCTTTTTTTTTTTT